CAGTCCAAGGTCGTTTGTCTAAATTTTCTCCAATTATGGCTGCTAAAACACTGAAAAGTTTGTATGCTTATTAACAGTGATGTTCAAAATTTCTTAGAAGGGGAATAAAATCTAAATACGAAAAGAAAAAATGAGAGTTCTGCATTCAGTGGCTTTGGTATAGGCATTTCTTGTGGCTGAGAGTGTAAAATCGACAACTGGAAGTTTTGCCACAGGCCGAGCTTGGGGGTGTACCTGAAAATATTTCTTCTGTGGGTAAGGAAAAACTCAACAACTGAGAATTTTTATAAATTGAAAATTGCGCCCATTAATTGTTTTTAAAAAGATTAAATGCAATTTTTTTTATCTTGAACCCTATTGCCAATGCACTTTCTGACTTTTTTGTGGGGATTATGGATCTTAATTTTTTCCTTCGTTAAGAAAGTTGACTTTTCTTCTCAGTAAAGGGCTGCTGTGTTTATATAATAAACCAGATAATACATGGTTGCTGGTAAATGTGGAATTTCTCTTCTCACATTCAACTCAACATCTCACTTGTCCACCACACTCTGAGAGAAATTCCATATCTATGCATTCTCAAGTATTATTCTCTACAATATTGTGAAAAGAAATTCTATCTTGGTCACTAATGGAAGTTTAAGGGATAACTTAGGATCTCACATTAAAATCCAAACTCCGCGAAACACACCAGAGCCGTTCATCATATTTTCGAGTGCATTGCAATATTTGCAAAAGACAACAAAGCCATAAATTTATAAGAAAAGGTTAAGCGTTTCAAAAACAGCGTTAAGTAACTAGATTGGTTAATATGACCTGATAAATTCCAAAACAATACGACAACCAGAACCAGAGTATTCTAAGATTTTTCATATAAAACGAGTGCAATTCTAAAAACTTCGTTACAGTCCTTCACGTAAATTCCTTCTTCGCTCAAAATCATAACCATTCTGCCCTTAACCACAACTCAAGGCTTCAAATGAAAACGATGATTTGGCGAAATCAACGAGATTGTTTAGGATTTCCGGTATAGACAATAAGGGGGAATCTACCCGAGTAGGTCAAGGTTTCGTAAGAGCCGGGTAAATCCCCGAAAGTGCAACGATTTCACATCTACTTTCGAGCACCGGTTTCGATAAAACAAATGAAACTTTGGGACCAAATCTTCTACAAAGAAATTGGAAATCGTCACGATCGAAGAAATATTTTACATTCAAGAATAAATTATTAAGACAGTGTCCACAATAAATAACATATCCAATTATCTGCCGGGTTGTTCATGTAAGCTTGTTAAAACCTGCGACCACGAATTCATCTGTCGACCTAAAGTATTTTTAGTACAATAAAAACTGAAAAAATCTAGGAAATGCCTCTTGGAACCTGGATACGTCTCATGGAAGAATAAGGGTCAGATTAGGAATGTTTAGACAACTTACCACACCATTCCTTGCGCTCCAGAACCAATAATCTGAAGATTGCGGTACCGTTTCAACACAGTAAAAACGGTATCACCGACTTGCACGGAATAATACATGTCCGCAGATAGATTAAGAATGTCTCTCAATCCACCATCACTTTTCTCTCCCACGACAACCTTATCTAAAGTTTTCCAAAGTAAAGGAACGACTCCACAACACTTAAACATTAGCGATCATCTGGCGGCCATAATTGAAATGTGGAAGTGAAAATTGAGCATGCGCCAAATAGCATGAGAACGTTTGTTTTCTTGCGAGAACTGGGATCTAGGGTGGGTCTCGTAGATTCGAAAGAGGAAATTTTTCCAAACATGCGCTTACTTATCGTTTTTGACTGGATTTCGCTCCATTCAAATCTTTGAATTTCCTTTAAAACAGGAAATTCTGGATTACTTAAGACATAGATCAGAAATATCGCAAGGAAGTTGGAGTTTCGAAGGTTTTCCACCAACGAAAGAGGAACAAGTAAAATAGTTGAGACCACCTTGTACGCAGTCTCTCAATTTTTTTTTCCGTGATAAAACGGGGGTTTCCATGAGTAACGGTTAACAGCGGTCTAACGCCGCCTATAAGACCTCTTACCAGCAGACGTTTCAGGCTCGGCAAGGGATAACCTCCACTGGAACATGAACACCAAGTGAATAAAATTTAAAATTTCCCCCAGGGTGTTTTTCAAGCAATCAGAACACTTTTGTGGCAATAAATTTTCATTCAGCTACAGGGGGGATAAATTGTAAATTGCTTGACTATAAAAATAATTTTGGCGAAGTTTAACTCAGAACAGTTGCATGGCCAACGATAGGGCATAAATCCGTTTATTTTAATACCGTATAACAAGGATGAAGGGGAGCTAGACTGGAAACATGTAAATCAAGAGAAACTTCCCACGAGTGACTTTCACTTGCTTTCATGCTTCACAGTACTCCCGAATATAAGTCTTGAGTCTGAAATCCTGTATGCAAAACCATTTTCAAGGCCAACCAGGTTCGGCGAGTATTTACATAGACCAGAATACTGAAAATCGATAACAGCATATTCATTTTACGTCTCAATTGTCTTAGCGGAACATCTTGAGAGTTCGGTGAAGAGATGTGATGTAATTGTGATATCTGTCACGTCGATAGCAAAGCCGGCTAAATTTAGAAATTACTGGACATCTCGAGCTGGAGGTGAGTGACTTGCAAA